CTTCCTCAGGTCAGTTTTGGCAAACTCCAGTCTGGCGTTTTTATGTTCCTGTGTCTGCAGTGGGTCCCCTGGGTCTCCTACCAAAGTGTCCCTTGTCATTCAGATGGTGACAGATAGTGTGAGCTGACACTGTTGCACCCTGTGCCTGCAGGTCAGCTTGAATCTGTTTGGAAGTTGATCAAGGTTCTTTATCCACCATTGGAACGATTCTTCATTGCAGTCCATCATCTGTTTTTCTCTTTCGTCCACATCAAGGAAGATTAGCTACGGTGCCATGAGCTGTAAACATCTTGACAATGTTGTTCACAGTGGACACTGTGCGAGCTGACACTGTTGTCAATTCTTTGCTCTTCTTTCTTTTCTCCATGCTCAGTGTGGTCCACATGACACAAAGGTTGAGTCGACCTTGCTCCATTTTAATTGGTTGCCAGTGTGATTTCTATATTGCCAGCATCTGTTGGTTGCTACAGGTGAGTTTCATTACAAATTAAAGGAGCATCACATGTTTGATATACAACTATTTTTGATGATTTAGAAAAGGTGTCAATAATTCTCACAAATCCATGTTTGGAGTTCTGTGTGGACTGGATCAGATTTGGGTTTTTTATGTTGTTTTAATGCAAACAAAAGAAATAAACATGAGAATACCAAAGACTTTGTGATTTCAACAATTTTCTGGGAGAAGTGGTGTGTTATCTGACAGAAATGCAGGAGTGGCAATATTTTGGCCTATGACATTAGGCCACAGGAGTGGCAATATTTTGGCCTATGACTGTACATTGTTTCAAATCTAAGGAGCCTTGTCGCTAACGCTAGGGCTTCTTTTTTGATTAATATCTGAAGAACATCACCTCGGAGTCACCATCTCCTGCCTACTTGAGAAGGGAATGTGTCACTTACTGTGGTGGCAGTTATGTCTTTGCGGCGGTCTGGGATCTCAGACTTGTTGGGGTTGTTGGCACTGCTGACCATTGGGCTGGAGGGAGGGAGGCTATGGCTCCCCATAACGCTGCAACTGGCTTTACGTGAAGGCATTCGTCCCTCCCGCAGCTCCCGGTCACCTGTGCTGGTTGGGCTCCGTTTGGGGTGCATGACGGGCATGGAAGGCCCGCCTTTGTTGTGGAGGACAGCAGAGCACAGACACACAGAGTCTCATATAAGTCTCATATTTTGCAAAAACAATGGGTTACTCATCACTGAACTGGTCAACACAGCTAGTCACCGCCCTTATAAACAATAAGTATCTCCAACTGAGGCAACCGGAATATTTTTATATTGTCCTGGTAATGACTGGTTATGTCTCTCATCAAATCATTAAAGCAAGTTTTCACAGTTTCAACTCTTAAGGTGTGAAGACAAAATCTGCATAAAAAACAGTATGAACATTAGCAGTGGACTGGACTCATATTTAAGATAAATAATCCAAAGATCTAGGAATCATAAATTCATAACAAGACTGTGCACATTTTCATCTGCAACTGTGAACACCTGAAGAATAATGACGTTAGAGAAGAGACTCACAGAAGTCACTGTGCCGTCGCTGCCTGTGGTAGGTAGAGGCACTGCGCTGGGTCTTGCTATGTGAGGAGGAGGTTGAAGAGGAAGAGGAGCCAGTGGCTGAGGAGTGCTTGTTGGTCCCGTTGGTGATAGGGCTGGGTCGTACCCTCGCCAGGGACAGGCTGCTAGCTGTGCGCGCCTCGGTGCCATCCTATAATGTTACAGTCATGTTAGATAGAAAAACATCACAAAGTGTCACCCGCTATGATGCCCTCCTGACACGAGGAAAGGCGAACGTGGTGGTTTCCATCTAGCTACTAAAATGTTTTGACCATATCCAGGCACACAGAGGTAACATTTCCTCTGGGGAAGAGAGGAAAGAGCTGTCGAACCATTTTTGAAATCATTTACCAGCCTGCTGCCAAATACAGACTGCTTAATCCAATTGTGATACAATAGTGTGCTATTTTTCCACATTCTCCCATTTTATTGGTGTAAGCAAGACTGTCCATGCACATGTATGTCTGTACAATACCCATAGATATCTGTCAAACATTTCAGAATTCATAATAGATTAGTGCTACATTTCTCTTCTCTAAAATTTTTTGCAACTGATTAAATCAACATGTTAAAGCTATAGAAAAAGCGTGCAGACATACAGTACTGGCACCTCCTGATTTAAAACATACTTCACAAACTGTATTTTATTTTGACAAACTAGTTCGACAATATTAAACAGTGATGCATTTGTAAAGTAGGATTTATTTTGTTACAATAAAAAGAGTATGTAGAAAAACATGGTTATATTTATCACAAAGCACTGAATTTGGCACAAATATTCAAAATTATTGAATGATGGAGCATCATTGTTAAGTTATTTTGCATGTACAACTGGTGATTGAGGTAAAGGTCAGGCTGTTATTTCACCCTGTAACCATCATCTAAATAGCTCCTATGAAGGAATAACTGCTTGGTAGTTCTGTATAACTCACGTCGCCTTTGCGGCCCAGCAGTAAGTAGGTGGCGGTGACCTCATTGTATTTCTGATTGAGCAGAGAGTCCTTGATTTCCTCTGGAGTGAAGCCCATACCAACCATCACCTCTGAAGAACACAAACAACCCAATATGAAAGGTTAGAGACAGGGGTATCATAAAATGTCTTGTATCTCAACTACACTCATGAGTTCAGTTCTGGTAAATGAATGTGCTTTGAACCAGAGTGGCAGGCAGGCCAGGAGGCAAGCTGCAGCTACAGTGGTCCAGCTGATTCACCTATGCGAGCTGGATCACTGTAGTCCTCCACAGGTTCTATATGGGGCTTCAGCTCGTCCCCCTCATACCCTGTATTTATCCACTTGTCCTTCATGACTTGCTGTAGAAACAGAAATACAGTAAAGCTTTATTTGTGTTTGCCTTTAGTGCTGTGAGTGTGTGCGTGTGTGTGTGTGGGGCTCTTCACCTCTAGGGTGCAGCGTTTGGCAGGGTTCAGCACCAGGAATCGGCGAAGGATCCCCTCACAGTCTGTGGACATATAGAACGGCACACGGTACTTTCCCCTCAGCACACGCTCCCTCAGCTCCTGCCAGGCACAGCGATAGCATGTTACACATACAGTACATCTCAAACTCCACCAGCCAAACTCAAACCAGGAGCCAGCTACAAAAACATTTCAAAACATTTTCAAGAAGCTACAAGAAGTGCTGCAGCATCATGAACTGCTATTAGTTTGGAGATTGTAAAAAACAAGCTTGTTTGCATCAAACATCATTCACAGCACATCAGTCAGCACAAAGAGGAAGTTCTGACTTTCCCCACTCTGTTCAGGTGTAAGTCCAGCCTGATGTAATACTGTCTGCTGCATAAAAACATAGATTCTGAGGTCCCTACTGAAGGCACTATGCTGGGGTGGAGTCAGATATGAGAAGGGTTAAATACACATCTGTCTCCGCCCTCTGGTAGAGCTCTAGGGATGTATCCTAGTGATGGGTAGATGAGGCGTCATGAAGCGTTTCGACACATTGCCAAACTGTATTGATACTGTGTCGATACTGTGTCACTGAATACTGACACCTGCTGGACCTTAAAAATCCCTACAGGCAACCTGGTTGACAGACTCAACTGACGCTGATTTGATGACCTAGTATATACAATAATATAATTTAAGTCATTGTATTTTATATTGTATTATTTCATATCTTCATTTAAATTTAAAATTTCCTTGATATTTTTAGATACAGTCAATAAATAATGTGAACATGTATCATAACGTGAAAATCTAAATGAACGTGTTGTGAATGAGGATGCTTGTGGACTGGGCTTTTTTTTTTTTTTTTTTACAAATTTTTATTCAAAAAAATAAGTTTTTCCAACGTTTTGAAATTGAGTCCGTTACGCTTTTTTGATACAACTTCTCCAGCTGTAGAAAACACCCGCTCACGGGACACAGATGAGGCTGGAGTGCAGAGAAATTGTAAGGCAAGTCGGAAGAGGTTTGGATAGATTGCCTTTTGGTTGTCCCAGTATCTCATAGGATCCTGGGACCTGGCAATACCTTATTTTCCGATATGAGATCAAAATGGTCCCACACGGCGGAAACCTTTCTTTTGGCTTGAGGCTGCTCCATAATTCTTGATGAATGTGACGATGAACCGCAATAGATCAGAGATTCGTTTTGGCAGATGTATCCCGTTGACATATGCGCTTCCTTATAAACACAGTTTGGCGCGGCAGTGTCAGTTCGAAACAGTTCCTGTATCGGTCACGTGACTTTCTTAAAGCGATACGCGCACCGACACGGGGTTTTGCTCTACGAGCTCGGCGCATGTGGCGACGCGTCGGTGTTGCCGGACCCATCACTAGTGTATCCATTACCATCTGCTGGATTTTGGATAATACTCCTTTTAGTTGTTTCTAGCAGCAGGTCCTATTCCATAGTGCAAAAACATCACAAAATACAAACAATCATTCTTTAACACTACTATTTGGAATAGAAATTAATATTAAGGGCAATATTAGGCTAAATGTTTATATGTTTTTTTAAATGACTGTTTATCCTGTACACATAAAAATAAGAACATGCACTGTATAAACCTGATCTGGCAAAGTGGTTCCTTTTAACACTAAATTTGGATTACCATATATGCAATAAAATATTGGCTTTTCTAGTAGTGAGGCAAGAAGGTTCTGGGTTCAAGTCCTGGCAGAGTTTGCATGTTCTCCCTGTGCCTGCGTCGGTTCTCTCTGGGTACTCCAGCTTCCTCCCACAGTCCAAAGACATGCAGCTTAGGTTGACTGGTGACTCTAAATTGCCCGAAAGAGTGAGTGTGAGCGTGTGTGGTTGTTTGTCTACATGGAAGCCCTGTGATAGACTGGCGACCTGTCCAGGGTGGACCCTGCCTCTTGCCCAGTGTCAGATGGGATTGGCTCCAGCCCCCTGTGACCCTATTCAGGGAAAAGCAGTGTAGAAAATAGCTGGATAGTAGTGAGGCTTTAAATGTAACCTTGGACCTTTCTGAACAACCTTTCACTCTTTGGTTGAGGGTGCAAAGTCTTGTGAGGTTGCTTGCCAGGGTCTGCCAACAAACACAGAGGCAAAACTGCATGAGTAGAGTGAACCCAGAGTAACAGCGTCCTCTTCCCTCATGTTAATATACAATGATGTAAGATCCTTGAGGTCCCATGAGTTTCATCAGGGCACATACTGGACATACTGTAACTGTACTATTTCACAAACAGGTCCCTCTTTTGCTCCTGTTTTTGGCTTAAGCACAGGGCACAAGGACCAGCTCACTTGATACTAGGATCTAATACATGTTTGTAATGTTTGCATCTCCGTTTGCTAACAAGTTCATCATATCGACTTGATTTGCTGATAATATGTCAGTGCTGTGGTTACAGCTGCAATCTATTAATGGAAATTTAAAAAAAATAGATCCTTCTTTAAAATGCTTGTTATGTACTGAAAATAGTAATCAATATTGCAAATATAATCTTGTCATACTTGTAACAGTCTCAAATATTCATCCTGGCTCCTAGTACCAATCAGGCTATAGTTTCTTTCTCTTAAATCTCTTTTTAAACACAGAATACTGTATATTATAGAAAATAGTCTATTTAAGCAGTAATTTGTGGATAAAATAGTTGTGCACTGTGAATTATCTAATCAGTGAACATGATAAAACAATTAAACTGAAGATCACCAATCAACAGAAATAAGTATTTTCAAGGAAATGCTGGAAAGAATGAAAGAAAGGTCCTGGATCACATTCAGAACCAGAGAGCCATGTCGACACATCGCACACTGAGTCACCAGAATGTTATATCCCTGGATTTGATTCAGACTTTATGCAAAGGCCTGTGCATCTGCCCTTTGGGGCCAGTCAGACCAGGCTGAAATTCTGTGTGCCTGTGAGAACACACAAAATATTGCAAAAGCAAGGCAGACATGAATAGCCAACCTACGGCGTCACATGTTAACACTGCTGCAGTGTTTCACACAACTCTAGGCCTATTCTGTAGAACATATGTAGACATGTTGTGAAAAAGTGTGAATATGGAAAAGGCTAAGTACAACCTTTCTCATAAATTGCTTCAAAGAATTGCTGACATTCAAAACAGTGACGACAAAACACAGTTATAATATTATTTTTTTAAGTTTCTGATAACCCGGTGTTTCCCATACATTAATTTATTTGTGGCGGACACAATATGAACACTGACCGCCACATATGAATTTAAAATAGATTAAATCTTATTTCACTGTAGTCACGTATAGCAGATGTACTGTGCCCGGCTTTATTTCTCTTTCACAAACACAAACACAAAGACATGACAACCACGACGGTGAATACAGCTGTTGTCGAGGTCAGCGCACTGTACAGTATATAGCATGGATGTATATGGACTGCTCTACAAGTGGATAATGTTGATGCCAGTTCATAAACTCTGACACTGCATGCTTGGCCCCTCAGATCAAGTGAATATCGAAAAACAACCTTATTTATTTATTTATACTTAATCAAATAATTGTTAGAAATTGTGTTTCAGTATGTTTAAAGCCATGACTGTTACCCTGACCCCCTGAGGAACCTTTCTGACCTGAGTGTGCACAGACAGACAGACGTCCACTTGCCTTCAGGTTCTGCCCATCAAAGGGCAGCGATCCGCTAACCAGCGTGTAAAGGATGACACCCAGACTCCACACATCCACCTCAGGCCCGTCATACTTCTTGCCCTGGAAAAGCTCTGGGGCAGCATAGAGCCACAGAATGTGTCCAGCTTGTTGCCCAGTGTGAACTCATTGCTGAAGCCAAAGTCGGCAATCTTGATGTTGGCGTCAGCATCCAGCAGAAGGTTCTCTGCCTGAGCCATACATACATTGATGCAGAAGTGGAGGCGACATGGATGGACAGCAGGAGAGAGGGAAGGACAGAGGAACACAGAGCAACACATTGTGGTGGTGGTGGTAGGGGGCAGTAGTGAAAATAGTTGGATGGGCAAGGAGGAAGAATGGGAGTTGTGGGAAGAAAAAAGAGGGCGCGAGTGAGAGACAGATGGAGGACGGGAGGTGACATTTGTGTGTTGTCCAGCAACACATACTGTATATATGTTAATATGTGTGTTTAGGAATGTTACAATCTATTACAACAGTGACAGGCTCTGACTGATTCCTCAACTTGAGAAAAAAGAAAACACAGCCTCTTCGCTCATCAGTGCTTTACTGTGCAATTACTAAAACGTTTTTTGAGCTTACTCACCTTCAAATCTCTGTGGACAATGTTCTTCGTGTGGCAGTAGTGGACAGCGGAAACGATCTGTGAACACGAGGACACAGACAAAGATGACGTATGCACAAATAAATGAAGATTGGTGCAATCTGTGTATCAAGAAGTGATGTACTTATACCTGCCGAAATTTGGCTCGGGCTTCAACCTCCTTCATTCTCCCATGGGACACGAGGTAGTCAAACACTTCACCTGCGAGTGAGTGTAGCAGAAACACATCAGCCAGGTAATGAGGCCAGAAGCATTATAGCCATGTCATTACTCTAACAGAGAATGGCCTGGGTCTGTCCAGTGCGAGCAAAATCCACCCACAAGAAGTAGTGGAACATAACCAAGTACATTTACAGTACTTGAGTACAATTTTGAAGGATTTGTAGTTTCCCTGAGTATTTCTTATTTTCTGATACTTCATACTTCATACTTTTCCACCATACACACTCACCTAAAACAATATCAATTGACAGTACAACATGAAACCTTGAGCGCATACTCTAAGTAAATGCACTCATGTTCTGGGGTGATAAAGAGATGAGAGATGTTCTCCAGCTCTCTCCAAAATACTTGGACTATTCTCTCCTCATTAATAAAAAAATACACAGCCCTGCTTCCTTTCTGACACCTTATCCCACCCACACCAGTTTCCATATAGTCCTTTAGATGTTAATAAAATAAAGTTATGCTTGAGTAGCTGCTAGATTTTGGATTACCAGAGCGAACAGTTGTTGGATATCACATTAAGCACATTTAAAAATACTGTACAGTATATAAAGATGGTATGTTTTGGTCTCTGCAGCCTTTCAGGCACCACACCCTTATACCTCCCTCTGGTCTTTTTATCTGAGACTTAAAATAATATGGGCCTAAAAGAAAGCCACATTTGAAACTGTATCTGTGAGATTCTTCAAGGTCACACTGAGCTAATGATATGGTATGAGCCAGAACAAAGACATATGAAAACAGTGACAAGAAACGGACACAAACAGAAGCATGTAAGAGACGAATGGACGATAAAGAAAAGAAGACATTAGATGCAATGTTATGGTGTTAGTCCTGAAATTGTGCTCAAAGTCAGTTTATACAGCAGCACCATTACTGCAGAGGCTGCTTAGTTATTTATGTTGTGGCTCTGTACTCTATTAAGTTTGAATGTGGTACTGTAGGACATCAATTAGGGGAGCGTCTACAACCATCTTTTGTATCAGATTAACAGAAAAACATCTACTGCAATTTTACTGTAAACGGTCTCAGCATCTTAGAATTCCCAAACATCACGTGTTGATAGCCAAAGAGTAAAATACCTATAACACAGTCACAGCACTCCAAAAAATATAAGTTATGTCAGGAAAACAAAATTTTTCTGAGAAAGTGATCATATGTCACAAGACCACTATAAAAAACAACTGATGCATACTATAACTAGTATGACTGTATGCCAAATTAAATCATTTATTAAGGTGGAATGAGACGGGAAATTCTTGTTAATGTCCCTAACAACAAAGGGCAATAAGGTGTGGCCCTAAAGAACTACTTGAAACACTGGACAAATATGCTGGAGTTGTAGTCTTGCCAAGGGTTAGGTGAGAAGACTGCCACCATTCTCAAACTGAGTTCCTTAAATAAGCCTCTGCCAGCATACTGTAAGCTTATCTTAGCATAAAGCAAGGAGAAACAGCTGGCCTGGCTCAGTCCAAGGTTTAAAAAACACCTCTACAAACTTCTAAACCTTATTAATGAACATGTTATATTGCTATGTTATAATCTGTATTGATCCATAACTGTGAAAATGACAGGTTTCGTGGTGCAGTAGCAGTGACAGTGATTTTTAACCTTTGGACAAAGACTCTTGATGTGGCATTTTAACCTTTTTGGAAAATGAGTATACTTTAAACATAGTTATTAACATAGTAAAGGAGAATACCAATTTTACATGTCAAAGCGTATTTACAGGTATTGGGGAGCACTAATGCATAGTATGTAAAAAAAAAAGTTACAATATGACCCCAGTGCAAACAGCAAAAAGTCTGATAAACAGTCTCAAGTGATGTCACTTGAGTCAGCATCAGCTGAATCTGAAAACTAAAGGTTTAAAAAGCCTACTCCTCATTTCTCATCTAGAGGCCCAGGGCTACATTAATTGCTACTAGCATAACAGATTTGAATCACTGTCGATGGTCACCATGCACTGTGGGACTTAACATGGTAAAATAAAGTTTCAATTTGAAAACATAATAATAAAAATTGTATTTATTTTAAAAAAGAAATATTGTATGTGGTGGCCATATCATCAGAATAATTGTTTTTTTCTTATACAGTATAACAACCAGTATACACAAATTTAAAAATATACATAAAGTTAAAATGGAGAAACAACGAATAATTGTATAGCTAGGCTAGCTGTTTCCCCCTGCTTCCAGCCTTTTTTAAACTAAGATAGCATCTCCTGGCTCTCCTTTTATATTTGTAGATACGACAGTCATGTCATTTTATCATCTTACTCTAGGCAAGAAAGCATATGATTGTTTTGCCAAAAAGTCAAAACTGTTTCTTTAAGTTGTTCTCCATATGGAAGGGAGAAAACCTCAAGTGAATCAGTGTTATTGTAATTTAACCCTCAGCCACTATGTTTCACCATGCATCCAAATGGAGGAACTAAAATGGATAATGATCCAAATATCAATCCTGCACTGACCAATTTCCTGCTGGAGCGCAATGTACATAGTGCAGTTCCAAATCTACAACTCTTGCCATAATTTGCAATCACAGCATTTGGACATGGACATGACGGCTGCTGTACCCACCTCCACTGGCATACTCCATGATAAGGTAAAGGGTCTTATCCGTCTCAATCACCTCGAACAGCTGCACTATAGCCCAAAACAGAATCAGATTACAATCAAATATGTATGTAAACACATCCTGCTCATATTATAAATAACAACACAGTCTGTCTTAAAAGCAAGGAACCTGCTATTAATGCTGTTGGGAGTTTCATCCATATCACATTTTGACTGTACAAATGCAACTTTGTGACCTCTGTATGAAACCTGAGATGTCAGTTGTTTGGTTCAGTCAGTGAATACTATAAAGCTTATTATACTTCCATCTGCTCACACATGGAAGCAAATCTCACAAACAAAAAGTTAGTTGCAAATGATGTACATGTCTTACCTATGTTAGGGTGATTTAATCCTTTCATTATTCGCACCTCCCGAAAGAGCTGGGAAGAAGAAACAGAATTTTAATGTCATGACAATATTAGACCTAAATAAATATTTATTTTCATCCATATCACAAAAGTTGTAATGTTTTATAGTCATTAAATTTGGAATTTTTGGATTTTGATTCACACTGAAGACAATGATTTTCACTGTTCTGCTTAAAAAAACAAAAGCACTGCTCATGGAAATTTCACATGTGGATCATCACCAAAATCACTTAAAATGGGAAGCCAAAGACCAATGCGGCCAACACAGTTAACTGAAATGAGTTCACAGGATTTGATGCCTTTCTTATTGTCTTTATAGTCACTGAGCAGATCAAGCCTTTAAATTTGTTAGAAATTTATTTCAGCTCACTAATGTTGATTGTTGAATTCATGTGAATGTGCAGTGCAACTGCGGTGCAGAATCTGGCATCTACGTATGCAACTCTTGACTGTGGTGTCAAACATGAGATGACTTGATTATTTAGTCCTTTAAAACCATACATCTCTTCTATTACTACATTCTGCTACTACTGACATATATTAGCAATGGCACGGTTTTAGGAGTTCAATACGAAGATTAACATGGAAGATTTGTATATTTTAAAAATAGTTATTAGCATAGTAAAGGAGAACTCCATCAATTTTACACATCAAAGCCTGTTTTACAAGTCTTGGGAAGCACTAATGCATATGTGAAAAAAGTTCATCTATGGCGCAGGAGCAAGCAGAAAAATGTCTGATAAACTGACTCAAGTGATGTCACTTGAGTCAGTGTCAGCTGAATCTGAAAATGTAAAAAGTCCATCCTCTGCGGCGGGCAGCTAATGTAGCCTTAAGTCTTAAGCTGCTAGATACTCAAGGCTACATTAGCTGCTATTAGCATAACAGACTTGAATCTCTAACTGAACTGCTGGTGGTCATGTTGCCTTATGGATAAATGTAGGCACCAGGTTTTGGCAAAAAGAATGAGTGAAATAAACAACAATCCGCTTGTTAAGCAGTGACATAACATTCTTATCATGACAATCCTATAGCACACTAATGTGCAATCAATTCTTTTGCAGAAATAAAATTGAAGGCGGACCAGGACGGACAGAGAAATGCACGCTCTTGTCCCAAAAAAATAACAATATCACTTTCTGTGTCTGATATACATCCAAACAAGAATTTGCAAAGGTGACAATAATCAACGCACCTCCTCATCATTAAAAACAACAACAAATGCCCCATATACAATTGTGATGAAGCTCCAACCAAAACCAGACCAACTTCTGGTCTGTCTGAGCACTTCTCACTGCATGTGATATGTCTACTCTGGGGGGTACACTGTATTTTTACACTTTGTCAGAGCAGGGGATTAAATTTGAGCCAGCTCCCCTGATTTCATGTATGTAACAGCACAGTTGCTCACTAAAAGGCCATCACTGAAAACCAGCGATTCTCCTCCATACTGTCAACTTCAACTGGAAAAAAAAAGATGGCACGATAAGCTTTTCTATCCTCTTTTCTCAATCCTCCCCCTCTCCTATTTTCCAGTGTGTCTCTCTCCATTCCCCCTCCTTCATTCAGTTCCTCTGGCAGTCTTCTCCTCTAGCAGTGCCCCAACGTCACTGTTGCCATAACAACCCAGGTATTAAGACTGGGCTCTTTCCCAGCTTTTCCAGCTGTGCTAGAGGGAATCTTGGGATACGTAGTGCCGAAGCATGTCATCACCCTGGTGCTCCATTGATTGCCTGCTTATTATGGCAGGGCCGAGACGTGAAAACGATAAATAATCCCCCAACAACATGTCTGACCCTGGTCACTGTGAATGAAGACAAACGGCAAACCCATGATAAAGCCGACACGCATGCACTATGGCAATCGGGTTTCTGGCTTGAATGAAAAATATAGAAGATGGAAACAAATTATTTTAAAATGTAAGTTTCAGCTCATATGTGTTATGTGGCAAAATGTATTTTTCAGGTGTCCTACAATGCCGCAGGAACCAATATAAATGTCTCTTGAGATCTGCTATTTCCTCTTAAAATAAATCTTTCACAGATACTGAGGTTTGAATATTTATCAGTGAATTCCCTCCCCTCCTTTACCCACACCTGTACAATATACAGTACCTCCCCCTTTCCCTCTATCCTCTACGTACATCACCATCCAGATTATGCTAATATGGACTCTTTCATGTCTACAGTAAGGATTTTCTCTAACCCAGGGGCGTGTAAAGAAGCCCACTATTATTACCAGCCATGTGTATTCACCAGCATTCTCTGTCTTTCGTCTCTCTCCTCAGTCCTGTCCTAAATGTGGCACTACCATCTCTTACAGCAGCCAGTCCAGTCCAAGAAAAGCACGAGGCAGGAAGATGGGATAACATACAAGTTGGGATCACAGTTCCTGCAAAGTGTCTAATATTCTAGCTGGTTAAGGTAAATTAAATCCATTTCTGCTATGATATACAGTAAGCACCAGCAATATGATGAGCCAGAGTATCAGGATTATAAAAAGACAGTGACCAAAAGGGCAATGGATGACCATGGTAAAAAGAAAGCAATGATCATTTGCATATTTGTACTAAAGCCTTGATAATACTGTAACAACTCAAGGTCACTGTTATCAGTACATGCAAAATACATAAGAATACAAATGAAAAAACTAAATACAGTATTATCAAAAGAGCTATTTTCTTTAGTTGCTATTTATTCAAGGTAAATCTTCCTGGACAGTGCTGTTAGAAGTAAAGAGAAAAATACAATGTTAATAGGGACGCAGAAAACTTCTAGTAGGATGTAATAGATATCTTAGGGGAGACCTTAGCAATATGCTTTCACAGGGCCCAGAAACCCTAGCAATGCCCCCACTACTTTCAGTCTAGATTTCACCTAGACAATTGCTCTCGCTTGCAATTTCTGGGTTGCAAGCGAGAGCAGACGTCTTTACTGCTCCTCTTGTCTGTTCTACGATTTTTCACATCTTCTACATTTTCAAGTCTTTGAACAAATTCTACAACTATTAAAATGCCTCCAAGAGGGAAAAGAGCTAATAAATCAGAAGCGAACGAGGATGTTGAAGCAGAAGAGGATTATATTTCAGCGGTGCAAGTAACATAGATGTTGAGTCAGCAGAAGCAGATCTACACCGCACTGTTGAGCCAACAACAAGATAACTTCAAAGGTTTTGTGCAACT